TCCTTACATATTTCCGAATCCAAGATCTTCCATGGGTTGTGGTGTTAGAATTTTTTTTTTGTGTATATATATATTTTTTTTTTCCTGTTCGCATTACAGACCGTGCAGATCTTTTGCTGCCTTAATAAACCTGCTCCATCTTTGCCTGTCTTGGGCTATTTCTTTCCATTTATCTGCAAGCAGCTCTATAGCATCTTTGTTGATTCTATCTATCCAACTGCTCTTTGGCCTTCCACGTGGTCTTTTGCGTTCTATTAAGGCATTCATTGTTACATAAAGGCTTCCAGATGGATTGCTACGAGCTACATGCCCTGCCCATCTGAACCTCTGTGCCTTCATATCATGGGTTATTGATTGATCAGTTTCTGTGAGCAGTTCTTTATTAGTCTTTCTTCTCCATGTGTTAGTACTTTGATTCCAGACCCCTCCGATTGTCGTGCGGAGGATTCTTCTCTAACATCTTTCAACACTTTTTTTCTAGGTTGCTGGTTAGTGTCCAGGTTACACAGCCATATATAAGAACTGGTTTTATCATAGCACTGTACACCCTTAATTTGAGATTTTTCAGGGTCTCATTACCTTTAAAAGGGAGAAAAAAACTAGTTATACGCTGGTCTATTTCTGCCCGTTGGTCATACATTGAGGTTATAGTGGAGCAAAGGTAATTGAATTTTTGTACTCTTAAGAATGATTTTTCTACTATGCAGATCCTGTTATCAGGGTGGAATTTTCGGCTTATTATCATGTATTTTGTTTTGCCTTCATTTACTTGTATGCCGATCTGCTTATCAGAGTCGTAGTGAGTTTCTCAATGTCCTCTTGATTACTTAGGACAGTTATATCATCTGCGTATCCAAGGATTTTATGATTCATTCCAACGTGGACCCCTCCATTTTCCTGTGATGTTGTTCTTATTACCTTCTCCAGGACTAAGTTAAACAACATCGGTTATTGTCTATCCCTCTGCCGTAAGCCTGTTCGAACTTCGAAGGCTTCAGATACTTTTCCTTGTATTAGGACTCTATATTGGGGGTAATTTGTACTTGTCTTTGTCAATCATATGTACATATATATATATATATATACACATACATACAGGGTGAATCGGGAGTATAATAAAAAAACTTATATGTTCTTATGCTATTTTTATTTGTTTGAAGTTTATTGGCATATCAAATAAACAATATTTCATTCAGTATTCACATATTGGTTATCAAAGTCTTATTTTAATAAATGTTTGAAAATATCTCTATTGACTTCTAAACATTTTTGGCTTCTTCTTGGAATAGCGACAGTTGCTCGCCTGATTATTTTATATTATCCTTTAATTATGCCTTCATCATTTTTAATATGTTGAATTAGATTTAATATTATTGAATTAAATCCCGACTGTCAACTTTTACTTCATTGTTAAACCAGTCTAGATATGGCCATCAACAGTCGATATTATCAAAATATCGATATTTTATCATCGATTGTATTAACTTTCGATATTTTATTATTTTAATTTAAAAATTAAAATTATCGTTTTCGGAATCCTGTATGAATCAGATCGTTTATAAAAAAATATACTCATCATGCCTGTTTCATATAGAATGTAGTGTGTAGGAGAAAAAATGTCGATATTTGAATATCGACTATAGATGGCCATCCTAAAGTAGAGTTGAATAGCACACGTGGGACCCTTCTCACTCATTATACTCAATTTGTTAGTTAGAACCTTATCAAACCAAGGCCACGTACTATCAAAGAAATCTATGTAGGATGCAAATTAATTATCATTTCGCTGAATCTGATGTATGGGTGTATGGAGACATGGAGCATGCTTCAATGGGAATTTCTGGAAAAAGTTGAAGATGGACAGGGACTAGAATAATAATTTTACTAAGGGAAATAGAAGAATTGATATAATATTAATTAATTTAAAGTGGAATATAATGTCTTTTTTGATGCGCCTATGTGCTAGAAAAACCATACTTTTGTTGATATTCATATTTAAAAATGTTTATAATATCGACTATCGATATTTCAAGTCCGATATTTTGATAGTTATAGGTGGATATTAATATTGACGACAAAATCGATATTGGGCCTTAGATATTCCATCCTTAAACCAGGTCTTATATACAATAATTCAGTACTGTTAGGTCTAGAGATCTTGTAAGTCAACTAATTGGACTACTAAAACTGATCCAACAATCTAGAAACCTTTTATCCAAATGTTGCCTCACCTGACAAGCCAAATGAGCATCAGCTCCATCATGCTGAAAGTGTATTTACATTGTAATATTAAGTGGAACATCCTCTAATAGCTCTTGTAATTCTAATAATAAAATATCTAAGTAATAGCGTTCAAGGCAATTTTATTTAATGAAAGGACTAATAGAATTTAAACAAATGAAAGTCTGATAAGAACATACAAGTTTTTTTTTTTATTATTATTTACTTATATGCAACATCTGGAGTTTGGTCTGCTCCTTCCAACTCACACTGTATTTATATATATTAAAAAAAAAAACCGTATAACTACAGCCATGGAGGGCCTTGGGTTCAATAAGGCTAACGGTTGTGCAGAGAGAAGATTGCGGGGAGATCATGCTTAACCTCCCAAGTTTTCCCACTTAATTAAATATTAAATAAAGAGTTCCAATTTTATAAAGGCTGAGTGTGTCTCCCCATCCCAGGGTCGATCCACGGCTGATATAACAGAATAAATAATTACATGCCAGAACACCCGAAGGGTTCTCAGAAACTTTTCAATAATATTCTCAGAATAAAAATTACTAATTTGTATTCTATTGAATGTTTCAGTGTACTCTATACATACTCTCATATTTGTATTTCTTGTTTTAAAATAAATATTGTTTATATTGGACTAGTGTAGTGAGCAAGTGTTCTATTAGATATCCAATGATATGTTTAGATAATAATTTTATAAATTAGTTCATAACAGCGGTTTAAGACACAAATGAAACAGGTAATGAACATTTTACTTCAAAGAAGCTTTGATATTTTGTGTAATCATTTAGATCTAAATATTTTGTATCCTGTAGAAAGTATAAAAAAAGTCCTAGGTTCTACTATTTAATACTTTGTTGTAGATATTTCTTAAATCATTTATAAATATTTCAAGAATATTTTTTATAAGAAAATATTTATAATGTATAAATTACTATTGAAAGGGAATTGATTTCTGGAACATTCTACAATGCATACAAATACATGTGAGTCCTCTCAGTTAGTTTTATTGTCATTGCAGTAATTCAGTCTATATTGTGAATATGTGTTTCTAGTCAATGATTTGAGTTCTGCGCATTAGTGAATGAATAATTCAGAAATTGCAATTCAATAATTTTATTAACTACAAATTATGAAAGTTGTTTTAGGGTAAGGTATGTTATTCAGAAATTCAATCCACTGTTGAAAAATGAAAATAAGAGGCATACTGTTTCTTTCATTACTTTAAATTATGTATGTTGTGGAATCAAATTATTGTTTATTTTTGTTGATTGTTAGATATCATTATACTTTATTAACATTATTATATAATATTCTATGATATAAAATTTTAATAACATGAAAATAATTATTAAGTAGGAGATGGTTAGAGGTACTGTCAGGAAAGAAACCCACAGGTATATTATTGCTTTAATGTGCGCCGTTTCATCAGCATAAATTGTAGACCTTCATCAGAGCTAAGCAAAAAAAGGGTACAACCATAATAAGATGTAAGATGAAAGCCTTTATCAGGGTTAAGCTAAACACGATATAACTATCATAGAAATGTTTGTGTAGGTCTTTATCAGAACTGAAGAATACATGATACAGCCATGATAAAAAAATTACTTATTTTCCTTACTCCTAAAAAAAGGCCTCCAACTTGGGCTAAATTGTTGGCACATATTGAATCAGTAATATACTATGGTGTAGCAACTATCTTCTCTTAGATTATATCTGTAATCAACAACATCTCCATCATAAAAACAATTATTTTACATTTCAACAAATGTCCTGGTTGAACTTTTTATAGAATGTTTCAGGAAATATTTATTATTGTTAACCTAAATATTCAGAGTTATAAGTAAAAACATTATAACTTAATGTAAGAGAGTAATTGTTACATCAAAATAAATTGCTCATTTTAATGAGAAATGGTAATCTATTATTTTTAATTTATTTCATGGATGACAGATAGTCAGGACGCAGTCACTTTATAAGATTTTTACTGCAAATTTTTCAACCCAAGCTTGTACCCACAATGAACACATCATCAGGGCATGTTACAAACACTGCCAGTGTTTAAGTACTCTGAAGTGTTTGAGTACTTAAAGACCTTCAGTAACGGTTACATGCCCTGTTGATGACCCACAAGCTTGCGTTGAATCGTTGGAAATAAAAGTCTGAAACTGACTATCTATCACCCATGATACGTAGAACAGTCGAATAACTTTCTTCAGTGATTTATGAATTATTATATTAAACTTTAGACTTTAAAATTTCTCAGAATGAACTTACCTTAAATAACACAAAAGAGGGTAAAGAAGATTTAGACATATGTACTCAGGAAACAATATTTGTTCAAAAAGCAGTTATGGTTGATAAGAAGAGGTTTGAAGTGTTTGATTGAGTTGAAATGATTTGGGAATTGCCTTGAAATCTCTTTTTCTAGAATAGACTTTCCTTGAAAAGTACCAAAGAGAACACAAAAAATTTAGACATTGATTCAAAAAACTCAATGTTAGCTCAAAATGCAGTCTGCTTGGTAGGTTAAGGTTAGTAAAAACAATTAAATTAATATTACCATTTTTCCAGGATGTTATTACATAAATCTGAGAGGAAATATGATTCTGATATCTTGTCGCAAAATAATGTTATTCTCCATTCAAAAAGAACAAAAATTTATCATCTGATAAAACATATTACACAAACCCACCTGAATAAATTAAAAATTATATAATAATAACAATAACACAATAAGTGACAAAGTTTATTGCTAGCCATACAGTTAATAAAAATTTATCATCCAAAATTAAATACTTGACATTTGGAGAGAAATGAAATTTTTGTTTTCTAAAATTCATGAATGATTATGATAGTAGTTATAAAACTTAGATCATTAAGCAAAAATACAACAAAACAAATATATAATGAACATATGTGAGTAAATATGTTTAATTTAATTAATACATAATGTATTCAAATAGCGATTCTATCAAAATGAGAAAAAGATCATTTGATGACTATCACCTAACACCAAGAATGAGCTAAGAGCTATGATATAAGTATGAAAAGGTACTAAATTAATTACTTTAAAATAATATTTTTTAAACAGCGATTTCTACAATTGCCTAATTTATACAAACAATTCTTTTAAAACTTAAATATTGGGGTACGCACATGTATCTTAATTTTGAAATAAAAATATACAATTCTGTAATATAAATTGATAAAGTAAAGCTGTGCTGTAATAAAAAGATTTAATATACAGTAAATGGCATGTTGAAAGGAACTAATTCATAAATATATGAATTATGAATAGTTTCCAACTATTTAAATGGTGTTACAAAACATCCTGTAAAATTATTAAGTAATGAAAGAATAAAATCTGCATCTAGGCTACAATTAAAAAAAAAATAATTATTGAAAATTTTAGTATCAAGGAATACAGAAATTACACAAGGACTAAGAAGAAAAATAGCATTGCATGTCAAAATGACTCGTGATCATATGCAATGCTTAAATAAATTAACTTTTCTTTTTTCATAACATAAATGCCATAAATATACTAATAATAGTTTTATTCAAATGGTATTTATAATATAGTTCAAATAGTAGACATAATTAAAACCATAATAAGCTGTTTATAAAATTAATAGGAAAAATATACATTCAGAAATAAGTTAAATGCAACAATAAGATAAAATAAATTGATTAGGCAACTTTTTATTATGGAATATGGTTATATGTTAAATTTTTGACATATAAAAATTTGTAGAAACACTGACTATTACTTAGAACAATAATCTGATAAAAATTTCAAAAATATATATACAAACAGAAATGAAATGGTATATCAGTTACAGTGTTAAGATATTACAAAATAATTTAAAAATTAAAAGTTGTTAACATCTTCTTTATATGATTTTGATTAGAAAGAACTTATTTAAACTGGAATGCTAACTTTCCATCACGTAATAGTTAAAATGAAAGTTTTTTTTACAGTCGACAATGAATGGAATGTACTTAAACAATTTTATTAGTTTTAGTAAGTATGGTCCTGCTCACAAAGAAATCTTATTTATAAATTAACTTACTTTTATCAATTACATGGATAGTGAGAGCGAATTTAATAATAAAAAATAAATAAACAGCTGTCTAAAATAGATAATACAGACATTGTATGATCTACTTACTGTTTTAAAAATTATGGTCATAAGGGCTATGTTAAAAGTATTAATTTTTCTTTACTCTTTTAATTTGACAATAATTGATTAAAGACATGGTAGCTGCTTTCTATAAATGAGTCTAGGCTTTCTCAGAGCGTTTCTGCCTTAATGGCAGTTGGAATTAAGTGAAAGTAATCCTCATAAACTTAATTTCAGTTTTCTAAATGGCTAATTACTACTTTGATCATACAAGACAGAGGGAACCCTGCCCTGTTTTACAAATGAATCATAGTCCTAATGTTTGGCTCTTACTGAATAATATTTTAAGTATATAATTAATTAAAATAAAATATCTGCCTTTAAAGTGCGGGCTTTATCTTAATCATAGGCTATTTTTTAAATTTAATTACAATTTGATTTATCTATCCACCATTATTCATTGGACTGTAAGTGTTATATATTATACTGTAAATCTTTTTTTCATAACTCATCCTTGTACACATTATCATTATCACTGACTAAATTACATATTTATGTTAATTTTTTTTAATATCATTAGGTAATCCTAGATGATGTTAGGAAAAATTAGAGTATTCAAATAAATCGTACTAAATCACAAACTGAAAAAATATTACTTCCAGTGCTCCCTTATCCACAGCAACTTCTGAATAGGCATATTTTCTCAGATTTCGACTAGATAGGTGACACAAAGAACCCTAAGCCTTTAATATTATTATCCAATCAAAACTTCTTTTCATTAAATCATCTAATGATCCATAATAAAACATGAATTGTTTATAGTTTAAACATGTAAAACATTTAAGATCCAGCCAACAATATAGAATGTTTTTTCATATAAAAATAGGAAAACGAAAGAAAAGTTCCTAAAATAATACTATTTACCAACATTTCAAATAATAGAGTTGCTAATGTGTATAGAAATAAAAACAATATGAAGTATCTTGGATTCAGTACTTAGTATGGAAGTACTGTTTCTAGGTCAAGGTTGATGCAAGGAAATTATTTGGTTTAGATAATGTTCAACCACCAGGTTTTCTCTCAACCAAGGGTAAAATACAGAAAAAGGGTACCCATTTTATTGAACCCGAGTGTGCCACAGGAGTCTTTCTAACCTAAGGTTAACAGACAGCTGATGTATGCAGAATAAATAATCATCTGCCACAGCTGAAGAAAATCAGGGGACCAGGAGTTATGAGCACAAAGCCTTGCTCACATACATATCTTACAAAGAAAGCCATGTTTCTCTTGAAAAATAACATCTTAAAACTACAAGCATAAATAACTTAATAGAATACAAATGACTCAACTAGTACTGGAATAACAAGTGGGTTAGCATATATGAAGAGTTATAAAGCATAGTGACCTGTTTTCTCCAAGGAGGACCATATTATAGACTTTCATGAAATTAACGTAATAATTGACCTGACATCCCCAATCAAGGATTGGTCAAATTGGATCTAGACTAATTTAATAGTCTTCAGTCATTGGGAACCGTAATATAATTGAGATGATTAAGTTGAGGCAAACAAAATGGTCATGTAAAATTGCTGGGCTTCTTGACGAAAGTTGGGTTTAGACGGTGCTTGGTGGATGGAAGAATTTAGACATCAATTGGTGGTTTCCACATCGAACCTTCGGGTTCGCTAAGTCTTATTATTTATATGAAATATGAGGTCCTAGTTTGAGTTAAGTTGAGTTATTTCCCTTATATAAATAACCTATTTGATAGGAGACAAAAAAACAGTAGTATATTTAAGTGAAATAGTATTTAAATAAAAAAAATAATTGTTAGGATATAATTGCAAATTTCAAAACATAAGTCTGTGTCTCTATAATACTGGTAAACAACAAAACAGTTAAAGTTTCACCAAACCAGGCATCATCAGGATTGAAAAAACAAATTTGTATTTAAATGTCTTAATATGTCTCTAGTTGATGTGAATTTTTCTTCTTTTTAATATATAAAAATAGCTCATAACCATTCATATAAAACATCAAAAAAATCATTGCAGACCTTAAAAAAAAAGTTACAAAAATACAAAAAATATTGCTTATGAATGGAACAAAATTTTTCGTTCTCAAGAATAGAAACATATAAACTCACCTTTTATATAAATTTTAAAGAAGTTATGATATATTCGATAAAATGAAATAAGTCAATTTTATATAGTAGGTTTATTTTTAACACGTTCACTGTCGTCATGGTAGTTTTTAGGATTGTAGAGTAAGATGCCAATTTAATTAAATCAAATGGTATTAATAAAACTGTAATTTCAGTTCCAGGTAATCATTAAACCTATATGCTCAGAATGTGCTTTTAAATCCAAATCTCTTGTGAATTATCTCGTAGTGGGTGCATGTCGGCACAGACAATGCTTATGTAAATAAATAAATCCTCTGTTAATGTAAGCCTAACTTGATTTTTCTCTTCCCTGAGGCTATCTATTCATATATACATTAGATATACTGAGATACTACGATTTTCATCGTATCTAAATAAATATGACAAGTAAACTACAAAATAACTTGCAGTTGGTGTCTCAGACAAGAACAAAACCTACAAGTTATCTCTTAGCCAGGAGTAGACGCGTTGAAACCTATAAAGGTCACTTACCCATAAATTGATTATATTAAATAAATAAAAAATCTAAACCTATAAATACACGTATTTAAAATTGGGTACTAGATTTACTATTTTATAATTACTCTTTAACTAAGAAAAGGCTTGACCAAAAATGGTATTTGTTTCTTAATTGGTATAATTACAAAATCCTAAAAACTTAACAACATTAACTCTTCACTTTCTTCAACGGTGATGAAGGAGTAAGGATTGCGTAGACTGAATACATTTTCTGAAAAATAAATAAATAATAACCAAATGCGTGTAAACAAAAATTTGAAAAATAATATACTGAACATTTAAATTCAATTTTGAAATATGCTTAGCAATAAAATAATAAAAATTTAAAATGCATCATCAGATATGAAAACTTGGAAATATAAAGATTATTTTGTAATTTTTTTTATTATAAGATGCTATATTTAGAAGGGGGTGTGCTACGGGATCTGATAATGTTTTGTCTTAAAAGATTATTAACACTAACATTGATATCTAATTAGTTATTTTATAAGGGGCAGTATTTTTAATATAAGACTATTCACACACACGCACAGACAGACAGACAGAGAGAGAGAGAGAGAGAGAGAGAGAGAGAGAGAGAGAGAGAGAGAGAGAGAGAGAGAGAGAGAGAGAGAGAGAGAGTGAGAGAGAGAGAGAGAGAGAGAGAGAGAGAGAGAGAGAGAGAGAGAGTGAGAGAGAGAGAGAGAAAGAGAAAGAGAGAATCTTACCTTTATAACACCAAAGACTAGACACAGATATAATGATATAATCACTGTGAGAAATAAATCAAATATAGCTGGTTTGACACTGAAAAAATAAAAAAATAATAAGTATCTGTACATATGGAATTGATTAATTAAATATATTATCAATGACTCAATTAAATACTACATAATATAGTACTTGATAAGAGAGAAGAATATGTATACACTCAAATTATAAAATTAAATTAGCTACCTAAATTACTTACTTGTATATATTGACAACTGCTGATGTTGTATCATAAAACATGAATTCTGGATCCCTTTTATCGGTAGTTTGTACAGAAAGTTTTACATCTTCTAGATATCTATTAGGAAAAAAAAAGAAAAGAAAAAGGTGATATACAAGTTTAAGTATTTGTGTAAGTTAAAGCTTAGTTTGACTGTTGTACTCTGAGCCAACATCCCATCCCAGTTTTCAGTAAACATATTTTCTAAAATAAGGAGCTGTATAATAAACCTACAAACCTAACCTGAATGTAAAATAATAAAGAATATTTATGTATTATTTTTTGCTAACCGATAAGATGATTTAAAAAATGAAGTAAGTTAATTTTGTTTAAATAGTTTATTGTAATATTATGTAAAAGTTAAACTAAATACAAGATTTTCTTTAATGTTTATTTATTTGTTGTATGGCAGTTTAGTTTGCCTGTATAGTTTTATCAACATTATGGCCTGAAACTGAAAGGGATCTCCCATTAAATATAATAAGCATTTAAAATGTGTTGTGACCATTTCAAGGTATAAACTTTGTAATATAATTGGTACATACTTCTTACAATATACTCAGAATTTTTGTGAACATCTCTGAAATTCTCTCTGTTCTATTTATTTATAAATTTTTCTTACAAAACTGAGGTCTTACTACCTCTTGGAAAACCCATAAACAATAACTCCAATTCTACATCTCCTAAAGACAACACCTGATCTCCATCCTCTTTAAACATTTCAAATCTATTAAAGAATAGTCCAATCACAAATATCCAATTTCCTCAAATAGTCTAAACTACTTGATTCCTTCCAATTCAGTTTCTATCAACACAATCCACTATCATCAAAATCACAAATAGTTTACATTCTACTACAGATGAAAAACAGTTTACAGTAATAATACTCCTTGACTTTTCTAAAGCTTTCGATTCCTTGGACCATTCTATTTGTTTAACAAATGAAAATAGCTGTACTTCTGCCAATCTTCCTTTTCTAATCAAACTCGAGCATTTAGTATTTTGAATCAACCCCTATCTTCCTTCCTTATCCTGTCCTCTGGAATGGTATAGGGTTGGAACATTTTCCCTCTCTTCAATTCCTACATAAATGATCTTCACAATTAAATCCACCACAGTTAACATTATCTATATGCTGAAGACTTCCAAACCTATTTATCTTTTCCTTCTTCTGAGATTATAATAGTGTTTGCCAATATTCAGGAAGGACTAAGTAGGAACAAAGACTGGGCAAGCTTGAATAAATTAAGGCTAAAGGAAAAATCAGGCCACTGCTATAGGTGAAAATTTTTTCTTCAGAGGCAACGCCATCTACCTTCTTTAGTCATAATGATCATCCTATCACTTTTAGCTTCTTTCTTAAAAACTTAAGAATTATTTTGATAAAAACCTCTCTTAGAAATGTCATATCCACTTGTTTGACCTCTCGAAGGTCAATAGTTAGGATTTAGTTATTTCATTATTCTAGTCATTTTCCACAACTTATTGTAAGCTCTAGTGTCTTCACTCATTTTGCCCACTTTGACTATAATTGTGATATACAGTGACCTCTCGATTAGAGGACTGATTGAAACAAAAAAAAGTAGTTTTGTCTTCAGTACCTCGAGCCACTAGCGGATCCAAGTTATAATTTTGGGAGGGGCTTCAGCCCGAAAGATTTTTTTTTCATACACAAATAACGATAATTAATTTGAAAACTTGGAGTTCTGGCAATGGCCAGATTCTTCACTCAAGACATGTGTGTATGTGGCTAAAGTGCTCTCGACCAATCTCCGCTGGCTTTAGTACCAGTGACGCGGTTGGAAGAGTAGCGCAGGGTTCTCCTGGAGATCCCTCGCCTGATTGTATATAGGTATGCATGTTATTTTTTTTTTTCCTTAGTTTTAATTTTCTTATTTTTTAGGTTATTTTATTTTATTGTCTATTGTATATACTTTTGATTATTATTTTGTTCTATTTATTTTATTTTTTTGTACATATGGTGTGAATGTCATCCTACCTCACTATAACCAATGTCGAACAGACAGATTGTTATAATACTAAAAAAAAAAAAAAAAAAAAAAAAAAAAAAATTTGAAAAAAAGAAAGAAATTAACTACCTATATGAAATGGTGTTTAAGTGGTTCTTGAAGTCCTATTAAATGTAATTACAGGAACAAGAATAAATTTTAAGAGATAGTTTTTAATATTTTTTTTTTGTAAAACATGGTTATATTTGACCATTGGGGGGGGGGGGAGGGGAAGCTTCAGTCCAAAAGCCCACCCCATAGATCCGCCTGTGCCTCGAGGCAGTCTCATGCATCCCACATTTATGGTGAATTAAAGTGGCTTTTGCTCTCTATCTGCTGACAATACTAACTTGGTTCTTAACTGTATTGAATGATTAACTCCCAGTACTCTTCCTACATCTATATTCTCAACACTTCAAACCCTTACTTCACTACAGAAAACAAGATCCCATGTTTCTGATCTCTATACCACCTCCATCCAACTAAAATCTTTAAACATTGCTTTCTTATCTGCTCCTATATTTCCCTGCCATACCTCTTTCCTATACTCATTCCAAATACCTTATCACACCTCAAACATATGACAATATTTAAAGAATATAATTTTGATAGAAATAAATAATAGTTCTCAATATTAAAGCTTTAACTTCAAGAATTTCTATTTTTTTTTTTTGGTTTTATTAAAATTATATATATTTGAAAAGATGAGATTTTATTTTTTTGTTATATTTTTACTGAATGTAGTGTATATACTTTTTAAATTTCATTACATTAATTTTTAGTCAGATATGGTTTCTCTTTATATGCACATGTTATTCTTAAAGGACCTTGTCACAGAATAAAGTTTGACTAAATTTACTAGAATTTAACTTAAAAACAATATTCATCAAGAAAGTATGTTGAGAATATTTGATATAAAATTACCTGTTGAACATATCTTGAAGAGATTTGATTAAAGGGTTGTTTTTTTCAAATAATAATGAAGAAGAACGAGAATGACTAGCAAGAAACTCCAACCATGTTTTCACCATTTCTTCTTCAGTTCCCTGAAATTAAATGAATGAATATAAATACATAACATAACAATTCAAAAATGCAGTGTCCAGCAGACTTAGAACTTTTTTTGTACTATTTTTCTTAACTAGTTTTTAGAATTTGATAATAAAACTTAGTATGTCATAGTTTTGGAATATGAAGATACATTTGATATGGCAGTCAATTTTGTAGCTTCCTAGCTCTGAAATTTCTAATGAAAATGACTATAGATTCTAATAAAGAATAAAATTATAAGGCTGATTTACTTACACCAGGCATTTTTTTTTATTTTTTTTTTATCTAAAACAAAATATATAGTGATGGAAAGTATCATAATCGTAAAAATTTTTGAATATGAGTTTTTAACAGAAATGCACGTTTTTTTTTGTAACATGTTCTAGTGAAATTATTGTAGTTAATCTGTGAAATAACAAAGTCACTATGAGATTGATTGATTGCGGTAATGTCGATATATATTCATTAATTTTCCAATAAAACTTTTTGAGGAGGCAGTAAGGTTTATTTTGTGATAGCTGTGAAAAAAAAAAAAATCATAAAATTTGCACTTACAACATCTGTGAGGTTGAGTATAGATATAATTTTTGTATTGAATTATTTTAAAATAAAGTATTTTACATATTAAATGTAAAGTGATTAATAAAAGAAGGTTTTTAATTATAGCAAAATTTGTAATGTTCTTGAAAATATTAGTTTTTTTTTTTAATTATTAAAACTGTTGTATAAATGATTTACATTTTACCAGAACTATCTTAATACCATGACCTAAAATAATTCACTATGCACATAAAAAAAAAGATTAGGATGGGGCATGCTAGTTTTTTTTTTAGACTAAAGGTAGGGATATAGTTTTTTTTTTTGTAATTTAGTACAAGTAAAAGCTTGTTTGTACTGCTGCTGTTCATCATCAGCAATTATGATGTTTAAAAATAAAAAAATGATCTAATTTATATATTACTGGAACCAACATATTTAAAATCTATAATAAATTTAAATAAATAAAATTATATAAAATATTTATATAGAACAATCTCTTTCATGTAATGGTTTTATACATTTTATAATAAACAGAATAAATAATAATATTAATATAAAGTATAAAAACAAATGAACAATAAATTTAATTTCGATTAGTTATTGTGAAAATGAGATAATTTAAAAGATTTATATAAATCTGGCCGTTCTGAAATATGGATGCTCAAGGGTTGAGGCTAAAAGAATTGATAAAGCAATTCCTTGCTTGGTGTGAGGGTAAGGGGCAGTGCGCCATTGTGGATGAGACCTAGTCTCCTTTATAGCAGAAAAAAGTAGTATCCAAACTTTTTAGCCTAGGGGCCACATCGACTAGGGATCAACCGATATCGAAATTTTGGCTGATAATGATATTTTAAAGGCTGATATAATAGCTTTTTTTTTTTTTTCCGCTTTCCATCAAAATTTGTACAGTTTCACATGGAATATCCCACTTATTGCAATATAAAAAAATAAATAGACCATCTACGCATCAGTCTATACACAAATTTTGACCGATAAAAGAACGATAAATCTATATTTCAGCATATCGGCCTTCCGTTCCTATCAGTCGCCAAGGAACCAACATAAACATAAATTTGAGCAGATTCTGACATTCCAAAGACCGATATATCGGCCTGATGGATTCATTTTATCGAGATCGTTAGAGCTATACCATTTATTTTACATATTCCTTTTTTTTTTGTCCTTCCCTTCCCCTCATTTGAGTAGATAACAATATTTAAAATACCGATGTATCGGCCTTACAACCATATTTTATTGATATTTGAACTTGTAATATTATTTCTATTGCTAATAAATGTTCCAATTAATTATAAAGAGATCCACATAAACATAAATTTGAGCAGATTCCAACATTCTAAAGACCAATATATCGGCCTGATGAAGTCTCATTTTATCAAGATTGTTACAGTTTTACCATTTTTATATTTTCTGTCCTTCCCTTTCCTTCATTTGAGCAGATGAGGATAATTAAAATACCGAAATATCGGACTTAACGACCGTACTTTATCAAAATTTAAACTCGATATATTATGTTTATAGCTAATAAATGTTTCAATCTAACGTCAAGGGATCGGCATAAACATAAATTTAGGCAAAGACCGATATATTGGCCTTAAGACCTTATCTTATAAAGATCGGTAGACTTTCAACAGTTTTATTAATTTTATATATATATTTTTTTTTCTGAATCCTTTGCTTTTCCTAATTTGAGCTAATACAGATATTCCACAGACTGATATATCAGCCTCATGTCTTTATTTTATCAAAATTCCAAACTTGGAATATTATTTTTATAGCTAATTAATGAGTCACACAATCGCCAAGATATCTAAATAAATATAAATTTGAGCAGATACCAATATTCTAAATACTAATATATATCGGCTTGATGACTTGTTTTTATGGAGATTGGTAGTTTTAACATTTTTTTCCCCCTTTTCTTCTCCTTCATTAAATGCGTCTATCAATCGTCAAGAGATCGACATAAACAAACAATTTAGCAAAAACCGATATAAGGGCCTTATGACCTTATTTTATCGAGATAGGTAGAATTTGACTATCCTATATATTATTTCTAAAAGGTGTTTTTTTGTCAGTACGCCATAACTTCGTCAATTGATCATCAAATCTAATGAATGACCACTCATTTTGAAGATATTCTTCTCCTTCACATGTCAAAAATAGTCCTATCCCCTCCGAAATCTCTGGAAAAAAAGTTATGAAGTAAAAGAAACTTTATTTGCGAATAACTCAAAAAGTATGCACTTTTTTTCTCGATTGTACCTATGATAATTAGAAAGATTACTGCATTATCTATAAATCGGACAATTATTATCAAAGATACAGTCTATTAGTTTTGGTATATTTAATAATGTCTTCATCTTCAAAGATATTGCATTTAGGAGTATAATAGTCTACTAGACTTCTTTCCTGGCTGATATATTAACTTTATTATTTCGTAAAGGCATTTGTTTGTTCTTACATGTTCTTATTGTTAATTTAGAAAATCCCATGATTGGGGCATTATTTTGTCTTTATTACTTTTATCTTTCCAGCCAGCGTTTAAAAATAGGTCCTTAATATAGGTAAAAGCAATCTGTACAAATATTTTGGTATATTATGTTTAATGGAATATTGTAATCGACCAAGGAAAAAATATTAATTCTTTCCTTACATAATACATAAAAACTACTTATTTCCATATAGTTTTGCTATTTCTTTACTAAACAAAATTTTCTGCAAATTATTCGCACGGGCTAACTAGTTTTTTTGATCCTCTGCCTTCCCTAATTTGAGCAGATACCAATAATACAAAGACTGATATATTGGCCTCACGACCTTTTTTTATCAAGATTGGTAGAGTTGGACTTTTGTTTCCCTTCTTCCAAATTTTTTTTTGTATTCCCCTATACCGATATTTTATGGAGAAAGGCAGACAATAATCGTTTTTTATTAATTTATTTTTTTTGGTCCTCTCCTTCCCATAATTAAAGCAGATAATGTTATTCTAAAGACTGATATATCGGCCTCAAGACCTTATTTTATCAAGATTATTTAAATTATTTTTATTACTAATAAGGGTAGGGCAACATTCACCAAATGGTTGACATTTCACTGGCCCAGCTACAGACTGTTAAATGTATGCAATAGAAGTTTATCATTTTCAAATCATTGTTTTCATTGAAAGTCCGGTAATTTCATCATCATCACAGGCACTACAACCTGTTAAGGGTCTTTATACATCCATGTCTTGCTCCAGGGCAGTCTAGTAATTTATCGTCAGAAAAAGTTTAGTGTGCTAAGTTGTGATTACTGAGTTCATTATATACGAGCGTGGTCTGAAAAGTTTCTGACTGCAACGTAAAGATGGCAGCACTCGTAAATAAAAGCAAGTGAATTTCGTTGTTCACCTGTTGACAGTTACCCACCAAAGTTTCAGCCATTTTGGATTCGCAATTTTTATGTAACAGTCGTTTGAGTGAGTTGATGTGAGTGCTTTTCTGAAAATGGACAAAATTGAGTATCGAGCTGTCATTAAATATTTGTTTTTGAAAGGCAATACGCCTACGCAAATCAAAGATGAGTTGGAATCTGTGTATGGGGACTCTGCACCATCATTAACCACATTGAAATTTTGTGCTGCTGAATTTAAACGTGGCCATAAGAGCTTGGGAGACAATGAACATTTGGGACGTCCAAAAATTGCAACTACCAACGAAAACATCGCCAAAGTTCATCAAATGGTGTTAGACGACCGCTGAATTAAAGTGAGACAGATAGCAGAGGCTATGAACATGTCAAAAGAACGTGTTTGTTACATATTAAATCGAAATTTAGATATGAGAAAGCTTTACGCACGTTGAGTGCTGCGTTTGCTCATGTTAGACCAAAAATGTGTTCGAATGAACATTTCCAACGCTCTGTTGGCACAATAAATCTGAGTTTTGGCACAGATTAATTACTGTAGATGAAACTTGGATACACCATTATACGCCCGAAACAAAAAAACAGTCTAAACAGTGGACTACAATGGGGGAACTGGCTCCAAAAAAAGCAACAACTGTTTTCTCGGCTGGGAAAGTGATGGTGACTGTTTTTTGGAATAGTCATGGAGTTATTTTAATGGACTATCTTCAAAAACGAAAAACCATTATTACAGGAGAATACTACGTATCATTACTTGACAAGCTGAAGGTAGAACTTGCGGAAAAACGGCCACATTTGCAGAAAAATAAAATTCTGTTTTACCAAGACAATGCACCTCAGACCTCAGAGGTTGCCATGGCGAAAATCAACGAATTATGGTTTGAACTGCTTGACCATCCGCCTTACTCCCTAGATCTAGCCCCAAGCGACTTCTTTTTGTTCCCTTATCTAAAAATTGCACTTAGAGGGCAAAGATTTTTATCAAATCAAGAGGCAATCACCTTCGTGAACAATTATTGAGCCGTTGAAATTGAAAAACGCCGAGTAATTTTTGGATGTGTAACAGAAATGGGAGCATCGCTGAGAGAAATGTGTTACAAGAAGACTATGTTGAAAATAAATAAAAAAAATCAGAAAAAATATCTTGAATTTTTGTTAGGTCGGAAACTTTGCAGATCACCCTCATATTTAAATTTAAATTTATTATTTTTATATTATTTGTCATGATAGGGAATCAAATGAAATTTTGTGGATTTTGATTTGCGTTTTTTACACCTATTTTTTTTTTTTAATGGCTATCTTTGAATCTAAATGGTCAAGTGATATGACTATATAATAAAGGATATTACTATTTATAATAGCCATTTCATTTAGTCCACTAGATACAAAGAAAAAGATAAAGAATTAGGTTTAAAACATACAACTCAAAATTTTATTTAATATTCACAAGTCCCACAGATTTATATAATCCATATCACAAAACGAACAGTTTAAAAACTGTAAAAGAAAATATTTAAAAAAACAATCACAATTTTAAAAGTAAATAAACAGAGTTTTAACACAGGAAATAATTTCAGAACTCTAGTATTTTTAAAACATTAGCTGCTGAGCATGATATCTCTTAAATGTCTTTCCCGACAATATCGGTTCCCGGTGACCGAGACTAGTAATGACGTTCTTAGCAGCATGGGACGTCGGAGACATACATCAGTTTCGAGGTATACTGCTATCTTTTGACAACAAAGGTGAACTAAATTCCCTATTCAGTGTCTCTATCTGTTGATAGTGTCCTCATTAATGGCCAGTAATCGTAGGAGTGGATTCCGATGCCCGATACCATTTATATGAGGATTTCTTTATCATTTCAGTAAAAAAGTGTTATTTTTAGGAATATTAAATCTTAAATTTTGAAAATGAAATGATAAAAAGTTTATTCATTACATATAATTATACTTTTCATAATGTAATTTAATTTTATTTATGTAATACTTTTTTAATGTCAAGATAAAAATGATATATATACAAATTCGAAGTTACATAATAATTACCATATTGTGGCAATGCAAGAAAAATATAGGTATTTGGGTATTCACTATTACATTGGAATTTATTTTAAGATAAAGAAAAATGAAAGCGAAGAATTAAGTTGCTAACTGCTTGTGATATTGGTTGAAGTATGGCAAACAGAATCTGGGCGCATACATCACAGTCTTCACAGAAATTAGTGACTTTCCGTGTTTTCTTATTTGTCTCCTTACTTCCTAGGATCTTTCTCAGTACTCTGTAGCATTCTCTGCACTGTTTTTTTCCCCTCACATGAAGACTTAATAAAAGAATGGACACAACACATCAACACATCGTGGTTGGCACTGAGTTGCTATTCATCAGTAAGAACCGATTGGAACTTTATAATTGATATGGGTTTTTCTTATTTGGGAGTGGGGTAGCTCAGTGGTAGGGTACTGAGCTTCAAATCCTAAAGGTCTCAGGTTCAAATCCTGGCTCATGGCAGAAAAGTTATTTATTCTGTTTCATTGGCCGTGGGGCGAACTTGGGTAGGTAGAACCTCCTGGGACACACCCAGCCTATATAAAGTGGGTACCCTTAATTAAAATAATTAATTAAACAGAAAAACCTGGAGGTTGAGCGTAATCACAGTCAAATCACCTCCTTGCACAACCGTAGACCAAGAAACAGTGGTTTTTCTAAATAGTACTGAACCCAAGACCCTTCGTGGGTTGTAGCGATACAGGTTTTTTTTCTTTCTTTTTTCATGTTAAAGATGATCCAAGAATTGACCACCGACGTTCCAAACATTATCTCAATTACCATGCATATGCATTGTCCTGTCACGGCAGGAATACGTATCAGAAATCGAGGGATGAGACTGTAGGGAAATCATTTTTATCAATCTGGTCGGCCCCCGGCGTCCTACTGCTTTATATCAGATATAATGATTATTTACATTTGTATCTTTATACCTATCCAACTCCCTTCCAAATATATTTAAAAATAACCATTTTAGAGACTTCATAAGATAGACAAAATTCGAAACCATCCCGTCAAAACGAATACTGGACCCCAGGGACCATAACCACAGCTAAAAAACAAACCATTAAAAACAATGGAACTAAAAATAAATGCAGAATATGTATTGATACTATAAAACTAAACTACTGCATATATACTATATTACTAACATTACTAGAAATAATATTTTTTAGTACTGATGGATAAGAAAAATTACCATATGAACTGCAAAATGTGATGATCCACTTATATTATAAATCTGCCTAGCTAAAGAAGCAGCCACAATTTCAATATTTCTTGTTAAAGATGATATATCAATTCTATCATGTGTATCAAATACTGTTCCTCTAACAGGATTTTTATGACTCTGGAAAAAAAATTCATGAAACTTAAAATTAACTATATAAATATTAATGAATGAAATACAAAGAAAAAGTACCATATAAAATGAAAATTTCAAAGATAGATAAAATATAATCATTATAGCCTATTAAAGAAAAAAAATTAAAGTAAAATAAAATATCTTTTTAATTGAGATTGTGTTTAAACAGTGCAAGAAATGCAGATATGCTAAATAAATTAAAAAAAGATAGATTAAAAAAAAATGACATAAATTAGAAACCATCATTAAGTTAAAGTTAAATTATAGAGGTTGAAGTGATGAAATAAATTAGTTTTTTTTTTTATAAATAAAAATAAATATAAATTAGCTAAGGCTGTAATTCATTTTCCCCACACATTACATAAGTAAAAATCTGAAAAAAAAAAAATATTTGCTTTTAGGTTTTGAATATTTTTTCTCTTTCTAGTGAATTTATTTTATTATTTCTTTAAAATGGTGTCATAATCAACATTTTGGGGCTCTGGCTCATTATGAGGAATTCACTACAATTATCAGTATGTCGTTACATTCATAAATACAACTATACAATAATTTATCTAAACATTTTTTTTATAATTTTTTTTTAAAAACATTTTTCCCTGTCAAAAGTATTGCAACTCCGATAATTCTTAAGATTTTCTTGGTTTTGACCTTAACCCTTTGTGGTCGTATACCGACCTGGGACTGTCATAAACAAGTGGTTATCCATTGCCAGTCAGTCCTATTGGTCCTTTGACGAGCTGGTACCAGCAATGATTTTCTGTCCCTCTAGTCCTATGCCGAATTCTCCAAGGAATATTTTGAATAAGCAACGCTATTCTAGATAATCATCTGATCATTTTGGTACCCAATAGTACCCTCAACACCCAATAGATGCTCTGTAAATATTTTATGAATTACAGAACTCCAAGACTGCTTAGTTTGTTGTTATTTCTTGAACCTTGAAGTTTTGATAATTTTCGGAGTTTTAAATATTTATAAGTGTATTTTGTAATGGAAGACAAAGAAATTTTAAAATTTTTGCGAGGATTAGATGAGGAAGAACAGCATCACAAAAGAAAACTTTGGAGACGAACATTTTGATAATGAAGAAAGTGATAGATATCTTTTTGATTCTGAAACCAAATCGTCTGATGAAACAGATGAATCAGATAACGAGTTGGATTTTAATCAAACAAATAATAATAATTTAGCTGACCAAAATTTTCAAATTGTTCAAAATGCTTTGCCATCTGCTGAGGGTAGAGCAATCTTGGAAGATGATGATGGATGGGAAGATTGGCACAATGGTGAGGATTCATTCCCAAACTTTACGTTTTCTGGTCAGGAGGGATATCAATGATCTTATTCTGCCTCTATTATGGAAAAATAATTTTTTCAGTAGTTTTTTGCACCTGAGTTGCTATAACAAATTGTTTTTAAAACTAATACATACACGAAATCAGAAATCGATATTAAAAAACATGCAGGTCTACTGAAAGCCAGCTCAAATTGGCAATCTTGGAAGGACACGTCTTATGAAGAAATGGAAGCATTTTTGGGAGTAGTAATTAATATAGGCACTCATCCATTCCCTGAATTCAAAATGTATTGGTCTAAAGAATTTTTGGATAAATATCCTTTTTTTTTCAGAAATTTTCTCCAGAAAAAGATTCCTACAAATATTTTGAATGCTGCATATAGCTCCTCCATGTGATGAATCTCTTAAAGGCACACTCTCAAGGAGTGCAAAAATTAGGAACGTGCTGTTAATCCTCAACAAAAAATATAAAGAGTTATACCTTCCAAAACAATACTTGTCGATAGATGAAGCTACTGTTGCATTCAAAGGCAGGGTCTCTTTTAATACCTATAACAAAGATAACCTACAAAATGGGGTTTAAAGGTTTATGCCGTTGCTGATGCTTTCAATGGATACATTTACAGCCTGATTCCATATTTTGGATCTTTAACCATCCAAGTTAAATATAATCAATATATGGGGGGAATAGATGCAGCTGACCACTATATTTCTTTTTATCCATTTTTACGGAAGTCAAAAAAATGGTACCAAAAACTCTTTTTTTGGCTGTTGGAAACAGTTCTTGTGAATTCATATTTGCTGTTCAAAGAAGACAGGAATGCCAAAGCACATCAGATCAAATTCTGAAAAGCTCTGGTGGACCAGCTCGTTTTGTGAGAAACTCGTGACCAACTGGAACGTGAGAAACTTGTTAGTAAAGATGCCTCGCTTCCTCTCTTCACCCCTCAACATCGGACAACAAAGAGAGGCTAAACCTCAGTAAATTCCATGCTACATACAAATGGTCCAACAAAACTAGAGAGCGCGGAATCTGCAGCGACCTTCCAAAAAAAGTGGGAGAAGAGAAACTAATATTTACTGTAAGACATGCTCCAGAAATCCGGCTCTTCACATAGGGGAATGTTTTGAGAAGTATTATACCATGAAAAATTATCGATGAATTTAATTAATTACTTAACAACACTGTATAAATTACTTTTTGATTTGAATAAAAATTGATTCTTGAGAATAAATAAGCAGTTGTATCATTTTTATGACCTCTAAAACTATATGTGAAATTCGATAGAAAACTATACCACCAGGGCGTGATGTAAGCAAAAGGACGCGGATTAATGACGGGGGTTGTTTATGCCAGTACTGGACCGGCATAGGACCGTATGGACATTCATGAAATTAAGAGTGGATCAAAGGGTTACTTCATACTTTGTTTATATTTACAGTAATATTATTTATTAAATGAGAGACATAAGGGATTAGACACATCGTTTATATTCTGTTTGCCAAAAAACGATGAAATTTAGGTTTATTCATTTCAAATTTCCTTTCAGTCCATGTTTACCTTTCGTTTGCCTCAAGTCTGTTCTCTTTAGTCTAGTTATAACAATTAATTTTATTCTCAATGCATCATTTAAGCCACGATGATTCGGTCAGAATCATCGCTCTCTCTGAAAAAGACAAATCATTGCGTTACAACGGTAATTGCCTTGGGATTCACTATTCTTCCATTTCAACAACCATAAAAAGGTACAGGAAGATTGGTAGTCATTCGAGGCGACCAACGTCAGGGCATCCCAGGATTACTAATCCCATAGATGACCACTTCATTAAAATGCACGCACTTTAGAAGTGTAATTCTACAGCTTCATCCATTAAAAACTTGATAGCTGGTGTTTGAGTGATATCTCGGAATCAACAGTCATTAGAAGAGTGAGAGAGTCAAACTTCAGCTCAAGAAGGCAGATGAAAGGAAAGGTCCTCTTCTCACGCAGGACACATTGTAAAGAGATCGAGAATTGCAAGGGAGCACCAATCTTGGACTGTGAAGGAATGGAAAAAAGTCGTATTCACTGATGAGATGAGAGTGGCCCTTAACAGGACAGAAGACCTTGAAAGAGTTTGAAGAAGGCATGGAGAACGGCATAGTCAGTGCTTTGGAAGGGGGAAGGGAAGGGTTCTATCATGTTTGGGGGCGGCATGTATCCTTGAATGCCTTGAGGTATTTAGAAATGATTCTTCAAGATCATATAGTGCCTTTTATGCTGTTCATAGGCTCTGAATCGTTACTCATGCATGATAATGCCTGTCCTCACAAGGCAAGATGTGTTTCTGAGTATCTGAACATCACAAATATCCACACCATTAATTGACCAGCAAGAAGTCCTGACATTAACTCAATCGAGCACGTTTGGGATTATCTCATAAGAAAGGTTCGATCACAAGATTAACCTCCTACTACCATTGAAATGAAAAATACAGCTGCATTGGAGGAGAGGGACAATATACCCCAAGATTTACTTCAAAATCTTTTTAAACATATGTCAAGACGAGTGGAAGCAGCCATTCAAGCCAAAGGGGGCAATACGTCTTATTAAATGTAAATTAAAAATTCAAATTGCAATTTATTTTAATAAAAGTTGTTTATGTCCAGTTTAAAAATGTTTATTATAGACTTCAGAACCTGTCTTTATTATGAAAAAGCAGACGTTTTTGTAAAATTCAAATATTTCAAAGTGTTGTGATACTTTTGACAGGGAGTTTATGTTATAATTTTAAATATAATGTATCACTAACAAGGGAAGGCTGATCAGTGGGTCACCGGTTTCAACGAATATTTTTTCAGTGATACTACGTCAAAAAATAATGGACATTAACCCAGCGTTCATTCCAATGGGCCCCGAGAGTCGAGAAAAAAATATTTTATATAATTTCAAACAAAATTTAAGTTATATATTTTTACCATTGCTTTGCCCAGATTTTAGGTTACTATCTATCAATCGATTTCTTTTTTTGTGCAGATTAAGAAAAAAATATTGAATACTTGATGGCTGAGCATGGTATATTATTGAGTAAGGAGATGGTCTGGGGATGGCGGCCATAAAACAACTAAAATAGTGAAAAAACTATTTTATTTCAAGCCAACATTTTGACCTGACTTTTCAGGTCTAGAATGAACCAGAAACAAAAGGATATAGAAAAATGTGGAAGTTACATAATATTTAGATAAAAATTATAAACGATGTGAATAAACTTATTAAAATAATAAACAGTGTGAATAGAACGTACATAGAAATATTAAGATAAAGGAAACTATATAAACAGAGTAAACAAAGTATAACTAAGTAACAAGACCGTAAACTGAAGTAAATACATTATAATAATTATTGTAGATGGGGAGAAAAATTGAATGTAATAAGAAGGATGGATATTAGTTATTATGAATATAATCCAATAGACACAAGAAAATCCTGAGGAGTTATAAATGACATAGTGAAGGGCCAGAAAAAAATTCATCCTAGAAAGTCAAGTAATAAAGGTTGTAATTTTTTATTTATATAAAAATTCGTATTTAAGAGTTTTAAAGGACCTTTCAAACTGATCTAACTTGCTTTTTCTTTTCTTTTAACAAAAATTTACTTGGCCTACTTTACTGGAAGTGCCTTTTGGTTTTAGTTTCGGAAGAAGATGAAAAAGAAGCTTTTTATGAACTCTTGAAGAGAACTGCGGATGACTGCTCACAATATGATATGAAAATCATCGGAGGTGACTTCAATGCAGAAGTAGGCAAGGAAACAATATTTCACCCAACTATTGGTAGACATAGTCTGTACGAGTCAAATAATGACAAAGGCATAAGGCTTTTAAATTTTGCTACCGCTTGTGATTTTACCATCGGCAGTACCCTTTTTCATAATAAGAAAATCCACAAGAGAACATGGAAAACACCTGAAGTGTCAACATTGAACCAAATCGATCATATCCTTATTGATAGGAGGCAAACCAGAAGCTCAAAGATATATTTATATGTGTCCAATATTTTTCGATATAGTAGATAGATAGATAGAAAAATAATTTTATTCTGGGACACAGTCCCTTGAGAATAACAAAATAGAACAAAATTAAAAGATCACATCTGTCCAAAATAAAATCAATCGAAAAAAAGAAATAATGTAAAAAAATATAAGGTAAACATTCTATACACAAAAAACGAAACTATATACAAAACAATTAATACTACACTTAAAGCTATTTGCACTGATAGACTCGTATACACTTTTGAGAAAATAATAAAGAATTAAAATGAATGTATCAATGTATCAATGAATTTGTATGTATCAAATTCTCTATTAAAATCAGCTCGAATGGTTAGCAACTATCTGACTGTTCTTGGGATAGGAATTGGAATAGGAGGGTTTTGAATTTGGATATGGATGGGGAATGTCAAATTTTGATAGGGAGGGCAAACAACTTAATATTCAACTTTAACAACAACTTAATTAAACAACTTAGGATTCACACTGTTACTTAGGGCAACAACGGGAGAAATTGACAGAGCGAACAACAAAGGAATTTTGGAATGAGGCGGATCTGTGAGAAGGCATGTAAAGGTTAGAAGGTCGAGATCTTGTGGACAGGGAATGGACTGAGGATTTGAACTGGAGAAGGTTGTAGGCGTAAGAAGGACGATGGCTGTTGATGATTTGGTAGAGGAACGTACCTAGGAAATATTGTCTTCGGAAAGAGGAGAAAAGCCACTTTAACTCAGTGTAGTGGTGAGAAACATGGGAGTATCTTGAGGCCCCAATCACAAATCTTACGCAGCTGTTCATTAGTCTTTTCAGTCTATCACGGAGCTCCACAGAGAGGCCATCATACACCACACAGCTATTGTCAAAGTGGGGGAAACTAAACTGTTCGTATAGTATCACAAGTAAAAAGTAAATTGATTGAAATCAGTGACCTACTGATTGTGGCCTCTTCTTAAAAATGTATTCTTGATGGAGCTAAACTATTGAGTAAGTATTTGTGAATTTCAACCTTATTAATCGATGCAAAAGCACAGTAGGTGCATGAAATTGACAAAAAATTCTTTTACCTATCAACAGTAGTTACAATAACTGAACAATGTTCTCATTCCACAGAAAAAATATATACTAAAGTACTTACTAATTTAATGAAAAGTTACTTAATGATTTGTATGTTTTTAAATAAATTCATGATATTATCATTAAAAACCTATAACATTACAGATGATCAATGACAATAAAAAAAATAATTTTATAACAGTGAGTTCCTGATGACGGAGCAGTGATTACAATACTAATTTAAAGACATAATAAAATAAATATTCTAAGAGAAGAAATATTCATAACCTAAAATTATCCTTTTAAATATAAAATAATTTATCAAAATTAAACATTTTTTTTTTTTTGGCTGCATGTACAAAAAATAGTATAAAACACAATAGTTAATTCAAAAATGAAGAATTTACAGCAATATATATTTTAATTGATGAGAAAAACAGATTTATTTCTTCAAATCAGCATATCTATTGTTAATCAAACTCACTTTAATTGTAGAAATAGTAGCTGCAGGCAAGCGACGGATACTGTATCGCTCATGTTCCCAAGCTAGCATTTCATCGGCTAAGTTAATTTTTTTATGGACTACTTCTACAGGTATTTCACTAGTGACGGAAATCCCCTGAAAGTGTTATAGAATAAGAAGTTTTTGAAATAATGGTTTAGGGATAAATGACAAAACAATTATAAATCACTAAAATAACTCCTTATATCTTACTTGGAAGAATTTTGCAAGCGATGATCCATCTTTGGGAGGTTTCGATACATGAAGAAATAAACCTTTGTTTGAACTAACCGTATCCAAACAAAGAACATAAATAGCTTCCTGGAATGTAAAAAATAGAAATGAAAGAAAGGAACTTTATAAATTGTACTTCTAAAAGCTAAGGCTCAAAATCAATGCATTTTTAATTTTAAATAAAAAAATCATAGTTCACTCGCATATTAAGTTTAACACTAAAAAATTTTATGATCAACAGGACCCTAACAAGAATAATGTCATCCTTTCTAATTTTTAAAATAAACCTCATCCCACACATAAATCATATTCCCCCCTCCAATTTTCTGAACAACAATATTCTGAATACCAACTACACAAATTTATCCTTTGGAAGTTAGCACTTGTAAAATTTTGTAAATTTTACAAAAATAATATAAGACCTTTTGTTAAATTATTATAACCATAAATTGAATTTAAAGCAACAACGGGAAATAGAAAAGTTTTGCAACATGAATGATGGGATTGACTGCACAAGGAGAGGAAGGGTAGGCGCATGTGTAGACCCGTCTCAACCTGCGCAGTAGCTGACTGAGTCACTGGGCTAAAGTCATTTTCCTTCTGATTGAGCCAGTGAAAGGGGTCGAAGATAACATTCTGGCCAAAGCTAAATAAAGATCGATTTTACGTACAACTTTGCATGCGGGTTAAATGTGAATCAGTATTTGAAGGAAATGCTGCCTGTGCTTAGTGATTGTCCACAACATGTGGTGATATTCAGGTGGTACCAGAAGTTTGAAAGAGGAAATTTTGAGCTTCAAGATGAGGAGTGATCCTGGTCTAACACTGAATAAAGAGCAATTTTAGAACTTTGCATGTGGATCAGTGTTTCGAGAATTTTTAAATTGAGTGTTATAAAATTTTTGAATTGCATTTTTAACCGAGCTAAAGCTAAAACCTTACAGCTAACAAATCATAAATACCATTAAAATAACAAAAGTCCTATTTATTATTTCACCAGTTGATTATGGGTTGTACGATCAGTTGGTTATGGATTGTATGACTATTAGTTATTAAACCGTTATTTTCCATTGCAAAGTTTGCTAAAATGGAATTAAGAGATTTACATTGTCTGTCATAGAGGGATCAGTCAGTTGTAACACTAATTGGAAGTGGATACTGTTGGAATATCATAAAGAGAAAATTCATCAAATAATTAATCACTAATTTAATTTTCCAAAAGGTTACATGATGATTTTTCGGAATAAACAGACAATAGATACCTAATTATTTAAATATAATATCAGATCTGGAGTTATTCGAGAACCCTAACAAAATACAGTAAATATATTTAAGGTTATAAACATATCTATGAAATATTTTTATATTTCACTTCTTCTTTCACACAATTACAATGAAATAGTGTCTTAAACAGTGTCATTGCCTTGAATCCGTGGATTTTAAATACTTTTTCAAACTATAAAAAAAGTTAAAAGTTTACATTTAGTAAGAAAATTTAATTTGATTTTCTTGAAAACACATGATTTATGTTACATAATGTTAGTTTTTAGAAATTATTATTTATAATTTTTTCGCCTCTCTCCGTTACCTTCTATAATTTCCTATATTAGATATTGTTTTTGTTTTTTTCAATTCTCCGCTTTCCGATATATTATACGTACACCTTCTGACAATTATTTCGAGCCTAGATATGTATTTTTCTCCTATATTCAATTATCAAATTCTTACAAAAGTTATATTCAGCATTTTTTCGTAACTCTAATGTGAGATGATTAACTATTTAAAGTAAACCATATTAAAGATACTTTAGAGGAAGACATATATAAACATTGGGCATTTAAGATGTGTAAAGAACCCCTTAATTATACAATGATACACCGAGTCAAATCAAAATCATTATAGCCGTTTTTGATAAAATTGTAAAAATGTGTTTCAGCATTGATATAAAGTGGCACTTCCAGTAAGCCGATTTTAAGGAAAAAGTTGCTATCACATCTAAAGCATATACCTATCTTAAATACGTAATACCAGTTCATTTTTCAGCTAGACGGGCAACAAACACACAGACCATTTTGCAGGACTTGGTTATTTGGACTCAGAAGACCTCAAAACATGTATTTTCATTGAAAACCCAGATTTAAAAACTTCCAAGATCACAATATTTACTCTTACTATATATTTCATATATAGTTAAGCGAAAATAAAAATGGAATAGCCTCTAATGTAAGCAGTAAAGTGGCAGGTGATAAAATTTTCCTTTACTAATATGATGCCCCAACTAGAAATTATCCAGGGCTTCTTGTATAGGGGATTAAGAGCTAAATGTGGGTGTTTGAAAATAAGGATACCCCCATGACTGATTTGAAATCCAAATCTCTTAAGAAAAGAATGGATTTCAGAATGGTACCTGTATTTTTTTAGTGTGAGGAATGTTTCCCTATAGTGGTACAACTTCTCCAGAAACTTTGATGGAACTTACGCTCATGGTTCCTGCACCATGATAATGCTCTAGTGCATCCTTCGAGTTACACAGAATATTTGGCCAGCACTGGAATAAATCTCGATCTAACTCACTGCGACTTTACACTTAGAAGCAAACAGGCTTAAAGGGAGGCATTTCACAACCAATGAGCATCTTTTGAGGGCTTGGGACGTTGAGTGTGCCCAGATTGCAGAAGAAATCTGATGGGGTTATTTTGAAGACAGGTTTAGAAGGATGAAAAAGTATATTTTGGTGCATTTAAAACTATTTTGAAAATAAAATTGTATTGCAAAATATTGCAAAATATTCCATTGCATTATCAAATCCATAAAAAGTTGTTTATTAAGTAGTTTTAGAGAATACAAGGAAAAAAATGCACAGACCTTTTTTAAACTACCAAATATAAGTTAATTTTTAGAAAGGAAGATGAGTGGAATGTTTAAATATTTAGAGGTCACTACAAATATTATATATACTCTAATTATAAGGCAATAATATAAGAAAAAATAATGTTAGATTAAAAATAATAATGAGCCAATTAAGTAAATTAAAAGTATAGTAAGTAAATTAAAAATTATCAGATTCAAAGAAAGTATCACAAAATTTAATAATATCAATTTACCTGTAGTAAAGAACCTTCTAAGGTATCCAAGTGATCTTCAAGCCACTTTTTACTACCTTGATAATTAAATTTTCCACCCCCAGATAAGAAAAAAAGTATATTGACAGGTGCATGCGCACGAGAATTCGAATAAAGGTGTGAAAATATTCTGATTAATTCCAACATCATTACAATGCCAGAACCATTACTATCAGCTCCAAATGATAATTCCTAAAGCAAACAGACTCACATGAACTTCAAAAAAGAAAAACGTAAATAAAAAAAAATCATAATACTTACAGGTGCAACACCGAAACTATCTAGATGAGCTACAATGGCAATTGTAGGCAATTTATCTTCTATTCCATATCCTGATAATTTTCCCTATTAAAAAAATTCAATTGAAAAAAAATTATCAATATGTCCATGAATCATCACACCAAGGAAGTAATTGCAAGGATTAAAGGCATGAAAAACAACAGGGTGAAATATATAAGTATGTGAGGAATGACAAGTAAAGAATTGTGAGACCAGAAAATTAAAAATTATTTAAAAAACATGACAAGTACATCGTTTAACAATAAGAATATTGAATTGTTAATTTTGCTGTTAATTGTTAATATTAAAAATTTTTTAATCGATCTTTAAGTATTATATATTAAAATAATTATTAAATATATATTTTCATAAAAGGATACTTTCCAATTATCTACTAAAAATCAATTGTTATTAACACAGAAAGGTATTGTTTAAATTGATAGGGTAATATAAATTATTAAGCAAGTGAACTAATAAGTGTTCGAAGGAAAATGAAAAGGAGAATTCATGAATAAAAATTTGTAAAGAATTTCAGAAAGAGGCATTATGAACAATGAAGGATTCACTTAAGGAAGTAGTTCTTTGGGAAGGTACATTCCAACAGGAGGGTTGGCATCTTGCATTCAAAGAGTAAATAAAAAAATGTAGAGTGAGTAGATTGATGTAGGGAGGGTTTTCGGTCATTAAGTATGAGTAAGCCACTTTAACACAGCAAATCAAGAAGAGATACGAGAGTGCCTGGGAAATCCAAAAAAGAACACAATGAAACAATTAATTAGATTCATTAGCCTTACCTATCACTAGATAGTTATCCATATAACAGGAAGTGGGAGAAAACAAGAGATGATGTCAAAAGCTTCTAGGTATTTAGTGGTATAGAATCATATAACTAGATTTTAAACAGAATTAAAAATGCCAATGATGTATTCTACAGCTTATGCAATACTATCATTGGGAAAAGGGAGGTACAGAAGAATGTTAAAATGCACATTTTCAAAACCTACTTACCCTTGTGTTCGAAAGTGAAAGATGGGTCTCTGTAGACAAACATCTAAGCTAAGTTATTGCTGGTGAAATGAAATAACTTTGAAGGGCCACCGGCTAAACTAAGAGAGACCAGATCAGGAATAACAAGATAAGAGATGAACTTGAAATTGTTCCACTAAAGGATTCCCTAAAAAAGAAGCAGTTGAGATATTTTGGTCATTTATGTCGAATGAATGAAGACTGCGATCCGCAAAAATCCATGGAGGCAAGGCTCACAGGAAAGCGCCCAAGAAGACCTAAATTATCATGGATGGACTACATTTCCAACATGGGGCAGAAAAGAAGCATGCAACTAAAAGAAATTGAAGGCTCAAGCACGGGACCACTAAACCTGGAATTCATGGATCGAGGCACCTGCATCCTGAGGGGTACAAAAGGAGAAAAAGAAAGAAGAATCATGGAACCTTAAACATTACTTGAGGTTAGCAATAAATATGTAAGTAGTAAATGCAAAATCATACATAATTTTGATAGATTAGTTTAACTTCTAGGATTATTTTCAAAATGATTGAACAAGTTCTTTTACTACACGAAAAAAAAAAATACTGAGATCAATTTTTGGAGGATTCAGCATTGGCCGAATATGGTAAAGAACAAACCTAGAGATGTTCAGAGTTTATCAATCAAGGAACACCAAGATGAGCTGACCATTTAGCTCACATGAACCATGGCGATATACCAAGGAAGACTATCGAAGAAATACTTCACGAAATCAGAAAACGTGAAAGACTAAAACACTGCTGGAAGAATGGAATTGCTACCATTCTGCTTGGATGTTGCACAGGATTGGGAAAACTGGCGGAAGCTGTCACCTAGGGATAGGTTGTACACCATTAATGATGATGAAGAATTGAAGTTATTCTATTTTAACAAAATCTGTTAGTAATGATATTCCAGTGTTAGCCAGTTATCAATACTCAATAAGTTCCCCATTAGTAAGACTAATTAATCAACTATATCATTTCTTCAATGTTAATTTTCCCAATTAATTACAGACAATATGAAAAAAATAATAAACTGGGCTATAAGAAAATTCCATAGTATTTTCCTAAGAATCCTAAGATAAAAATTGATTGATCACTTTTTATTCAGCAGATGGTAATAGAGAAGGAAAAATACAGTATATACAAGATCAAGATCTGGGTTCAAATCAAAGGATGAAAAAATGCCATCTAATTCTATTTTTGAGCTTATTCTATTAGATAAAAAAATTAAATAATTATCAGAATCTCATCCTCATTATGGAGGGTTTAATCTGGTTTCCACACCTCAGAAACAAGAACATTAGCATCCACAAACTTATGTACAAAATTAACAGATTATCTTGATATTTGCGTGTTTAAGAAATTTATAGTACTTCACTTTCATTAAAGGTTTTTACCAATAAGTCAGCATTAGTGAAAATACAGTCATTTATGAAAAAATCTCTAATATTTAATGTACAATAAAAAACAAAGGAAAAACAAATATGCAAAAGTCGCTAACATGAGGAATAGCTTGTGCTATTGCCCGTGTTACGAATTATGAAAGGTACTCGCCTATTTATGCCATCAAAGAGGTTATTAACCAATTCCTGCGGTCTGTTATTAGGCTGTTTTCAACTTTTAAAAAGTATTAGTAATGGAAGTATGATTTCACAAACAACTTAAACAGTACCTAAAAATGTTTTATGGAATTAAGGTCTAGATTTTTTTTGGTCATTCCAGAAATATGATACCAACATCTTAGAGGTACTCAACTGCACTCTGACTGAGTTATCATGTATTTTCAGGCTTCAGCAGAAAACGGTTTCTAATGTAGAGAAAAAATGTCACTCCAAAAAGTTCAGTTCTAAGCCTCTCACTCTAATCAGCTTAGTGTGAGCAATTCGGATATTTTTCTTTTTTTGAACTCTGATAAAAAGAGGACCACACAGTGTGTCTGGCACTTAGTTTAACTCTAATAACCTTAATAACTTTTTTTATTTTAGAGTAAACTACTCAGAAACCCAATTCTCTCCCCCTTTTTTTATTTATGTAAATTTAGAAGTGCTGCTTGGAAAATAGAAAGAGACCTGATGAATACGGTGGATGGTTTCATACTTTGCCATGTCATACATTATAAAGCAATAGACAGAAGCAGCTAAATGACTTTTCTGCCTAGTTTATTAAACTTGAGTAAACTAGGCTTCTGAAAGGCTAAAAAAAATAATACTTGGCCGGGAACAAAATAAATAAAATAACAAATTTTACCTGAATAGAAACTATATTTGCATCATTTCTAACAGCTGGTTTCCCAGCATTGACAACAATTTGATATCCATTTGCAGAGAAGGATTGAAGAATTGCTGAAAAAAAAAAAAAAAGAGCACCATTAAAAAACTAATGTAGTTAAAAATTGATAAGTAATACATAGAAGAAAGTTATAGTTAAATGAACACATAAAAAAGAACATATCATTAGATATCCAAGTAATTTCAGGGTATAATAACTATATCTTTAACTAGCCATAAACTATATGTATCATTTTCTAACCACCTAGTTGGAGTATACAGCCCACTGCACTAATGGGGACAGATACTAAAACATATTTTAGTTTGGGTTCTTGCAGCTTTACTCAAACCAATATAGCAGGATTGATAGATGTTTTACAAAGTGTAGTTTCATGAACTTTAAATTATCAAAAAGAAACAAGACCAGGAAGTGATTTCTAAAGTGTTACTACTCCTATTGAGAACAGAAATTCGACCATATTGGGAGAAAGAAATATGTTTGTGACAACAAAGCAACTTAGTCAATAGCCACAACTTTATATTGTGTATTCATTATACATTAAAAAATCTTCTTTGGTAAGTTGTTAAAACATCCTATATTCCTTCAAGTCACCCAACAGTGACATTAAACTATTTTGAACATTGTTGTTGATTGTTCTGGTTAATCTAGATTAAATTCAGTGCGGAAAGGTGCTGTCCTGAGGAGCAAGCTGAGAAATTAAAGATGTGGCTGGGTGGCAGAAGTTTTTAGAGGAGACCAAAACATAACACAGATTGCAGGGTTGTCTAAGTAATCAAGTGTAATCAGCTACAGTATAATGAGGATAGGCAATAAAATATTGTTGGTATTAATTAAAAAAAAAAAAATCATTGGACCAATATATTCCATTACATTAGACAGAAAAATAAGTGAAACTGCCAAAAGAAAACTGAAAAGTACCCATAAAAATTAATTAGTACAGCAAAACTTTACATAATTAAAAAAAAAAAATATCACTCAAAAATGTTTATGTATATATGAAACAATAAAAATAACATAGATATATTCTTTTAAAATTGTATAAAATGGAAAGGTCCCATGTGAAAAGAAGATATTTCAGTAAATAGCTTAAAAATATGTGTTGCTGTTTACCTTAATAAGTTCCTACTTCCTGAAGACCAGTAGGTCAATGCAAGAATATAATTGAGTAACCTGAAAATTATTACTGACAAAATAATCACAACAATACACTCAATTGCGAATCATTAAAAAAGAGAAATAAATATATTAAACTTAATCATACTTGATAAAAAGGGATATGATATTCATAGAGTTGATGGTCCTTAAAAAATTACTTAAATAGAAGAAAAATAGTAGAACAGCAATGAAAAAAAAAGTTAATTATGATTTATAATATCAAACTAGAGTTTAAAAAAAATGTTGCAGTGATTTTAGATATGATAGGTATGAAGGAAATGAACTAAAAAGATCTAATGAAAATGTCAAATCATTTAACAGAAAACGCAAAGAGCCAGACGAACAATTTAAATATCAAGCATATATTTATTGGTAAATTAAGGAAGGATTTCTGATGGTTTAGTTAAACTTAAACATAACAAAGTACCAAGGATAAACCAAGTAGCAAACAAAGCCTCATAGAAAGTTACGCGACAAACTGTAAATGGATTAGAGCCATTCTGAAGAAAGCTGACAATACCAAAGAAAAGCATATCCTAAAATGGATATGAAGGAAGAAAAAACAATCAAAATCAGAATTAGCTCAACAGAAATGGATCATTCTAATGGAAAGTCAAAAAATCAAAGCTGATCATTCTAGATAAAATAAGCTAGAGTTGTTCTCAGTCCTTTGTACATATATAAAAAAAAAAAAAAAAAAAAAAATAAGAAAAGAAAAACTACCTATTTCAAAAGAATTCCTTTCAATTGTTTTAATCATGAAAAAACAAAGATTTGATAAATTAATCACAAATACCTAATTAACCATATACAATTTAAACTGAATTTTAAACATTTAAATGAAATAAATCACACTTTAATGTTTAATGAACGGATTGTAAAGAGCCTTCATTAACTGAAATTTATAAGAAAAGAAACTAATTGATGTGAAACATTTCAAGGAACATTCCAAATTTGCATTTAAATAATCTTCAGTGAACGTTGATTTATATCCAAGTAAAACACCTGATTTAATAAGAATTATTTAAACAATAATAGAATACAATTAAATATAAATAATGTTGCTTTTGTAATTTTACCTTCCCAGGCTGGTATTCCCTTATCATTTGCTAATTTATTATTTTCAATATCGGTTACTATCTCCTCCAATTCAGGCGACCAGTTAATAAAATAGACAGGAACCATCGTTTCATCATCCAACAGTTGCACTTCAAGTTCAGTAAGAATCTATTAGAAATAATTATATTAATTTAAAATGTAAGAAAAAAACAGCAAAGACCAAACAAGGAAGTTTAACTTCAATCAGAACAACAAATTAAACATAACTGCAAAGAGAACTACCAATATTGTCATTTTAACCATATCTAAAACCACCATAATAAACTCAATGGAAAATAGGGTTTACATAAATTATATTACACCACTCATTAGCTGCAACAATGTCATCATTTGTAAATTATGATTTTTCAGTTAATATCACAGTGACAATTGCAATACCATAAACTTTTTACAAGAAAATATAATTTTTCAATTTTCAAGGCCAATTGTGCTATTTTATTTTTTATTATTATTTTTCATAGAAATAAATACAGTATTCAAAATTTTAAATACATATTCTAATGTCTGGTTTTCTATTAGAAAAAAACAATACTATTTTTTATATGTTTTAATTAAAATAGGATTTACTTCTTTCATTTCTGAAGTCAGAGAATCAATGTTTTGTGGTAAAACAAGTAATAATCCTCCAGAGTTTTCTTTGATATTATGTAAGCTATGTGAGGCTAGATGTTCCAATCTGGCAACTACACAGTGTCTTTGCGTGCTCCAGCTTTTAAGAGAACGGGCCTCTAGGTTCAAATTTGCAGTTCTACAACCTAACAATACAAATTAATTCATAGTATTATAAAATATTTGATGTAAAGGTATTATTAAAAAGTACCAATTAAAGTTTAATATATTAAAAAGACTTAAATATACACATACTTTGATTATATATATAAACCTATACCACTAAAACACACGAAGGGTCTACATTTAACCCTTGTAATGAGTATAAGTATGAATAAGGAGTATGGTTAGTAAAGGGTTCAGTACTTAGTAAGGAAGTACTGTTTTAAGGTCAACAGTTGTGCAGGGAGGAGATCAGGTCGGGATCACACTCAACTAACAGGCTTTCTCCCTTAATTAATCATCTAATTAAGAGTATTCACATCATAGAGACTGGGTGTGTTCGAGGAGGGTCTCTTGACCCCAGGATCAATCCACGGCTGATGAAACATAATAAATAATTATCTGTCATCAGCTAGACTCGAACCCAGGACTTAAAACTTAGGAAGTCAGTGCCTTACCCACTGATCTATCCCACTCCCTACACTGATTATATATAGTATAATAAATATAAACATAGAGGTTAAAAATATACAATAACCCACAATCAGTGTTTTTAAAAATTTTAGAAAGTGCATAAATGATGTTATAGGTCCATTTAATAAGAAGAAATAAAAATAAAGCAAAAACAATGAATGAGTTTTTGAAAAGCAGTAAAAAATAATTTTCACATGAGATTATGCTAATGAATTAAAATTAATGCTTATGAGATAAATTTGTCTGAATAATAAAGAAGGAGGTAGAACAAAAATTAGGATGAGATGTAATCAATAATTATATAGAAAATTAACTTTCTTTTCCATGATTATCTAAGCAATATATTAGAGAGGCAATCGGTGAAACAATAGATAGAGAGATAGAGAGTTTCTAAATTGGTTAGTCATAATAAAAAAAAGTTCGAAAATAAAAAAAGAGTTTTATTCCACACTTATTAAATTTACTATAATTTATATACTTCATTATTTTTACATTACGATTAAGAAATACGGCACTCATCTCTGTAAATTATGAGACATTAATAAAATTAAAACAGTAATACAGGATTGAATGGCTATATTTATGAGACCAAAAACGTGATAAAAGCTTAAATTGGTTGAAACAACATCAAGAAGTGGGTTTCATGCTCCGAGGAATCAAGAAGGGAGGTAGCGATGGTCACTCAGGGCCGACTCGTCACTGCCGCTTTACCCATGGCTAAACAACTTGCACTTAAGTGTCAGAATTAAAAGTAAACCACAAAAATTAAGAATGCCTTAGGCGAACAACATAATGGCCTTTCTAAAATTACTAATTTTACAAAAGATACAGTTGTTTCATAAATATACATATGTATTTTGCAGATTCAGTTTGTATATTTCTTAATAGTTTATTTCTTTCTTTTAATAAGGCGGTTTATATTTTATTCCGTACCAATCCCATTTGTCTTTTTCATCAAGCTTAAGAATAAAGACTCCAACACATAGAGTGCGATATGCCTAGGCTTGAGATATGGCGATTCAGTAGTAATATATCTATTGCATTATAGCAGTCACACAGAGCTTGATAATCCACAGTGATACCAACAAAGGGTATTGTATCGTCGGGACATATTGTGTTCTGTGGGTAAGAGCCTTTAGAAGAGGGCTAACATAATATTAGGGGGTTGAAAATTTTAATAGAATAGGGTCGAAAAAAATTGAACTGTTTAGTTTTAACATTGACATTTTGGAAACAAAACAATTTAAAATAATAGTTCAAAAGAGCATTGCAATAAAGTTATGGGTTTTGAGTAAAAGTTATACATTAATTTATTTACGTACTTAAAACAAGTTATTTTAAATGAGAAATAAGAAGTCACAGGGCTTAGATTAAAAATATAATTATTGTGAATGAATTTCCTGACACTCATATTAAGAATCTATTTCACAATTATTAAATTTACAATTTGGCGAAATAGATTTTTTAATAATATCTTCATGTAAAAGATCTAAAAAAATAAAAATTATGTAAAACCTTAAAGTAAAATTTTCCATGGGAAAAATTGAAGAGTTCTGAAATAAAACAAAACTAATGAAAATTCCAGTCATACAAAACTGATAAAACATAGAAGTTATCTTTTTTAAATTTGCCTAAAGGAAAAACTGAATAAATAGGTCTTTAAATAATTGGCTAAATGGGCAGAAATCCCATTAGTTTCTGGAGCCTAAGTAATAATAAAATACAATTAAAGTACAACTGAATGACTTCATAATTTGATCTTTATTTTCAACCTTAATTAAATTTTATGATAGTTCTTAACATCAATTACTCTAAAACTATTTGCTAAGATGCAATACAGCAAAGAGATATGAGCTTTTACTAGACAGATATATCATAAATTACATAGGAGTCACATGTTATAAATCATCTTGTAATGTTTCAGCTAGTTGGAGGTCATTTCTAATCAAAAATGCAAGAAAAATAAACAGCTCGAAATTCAGGAAAAAAGCATAGGTTGTACAACAAAATTATACTGAATGAATCTTAAAAGTAAATGAGGTTAAAAATAAATAAACAAAAATAGACCACCCAAAGCAAGCTAAAGTTTAATATGAAACACAGTTAAGGTACCTTTGGATAATCCATGGAGATCATACTGATGCATTCTATACACAGTAAATTCATGAGAGGCGTTCACTAATGTCGCTGGTGATAACATTAAGAAAATAGGGAGAAGACATAGTAGGTAAAATGGGAAAGAACCCTTAAAGAGTTCACAGAACTCGTCCGACTCAAAAATCATGTTATAACTGAATTGAATAACATGAAAGGGAGGTTATCAAAATTTGAAACTATCGATTTAGAAAGCAAAGAGGTGTAAAAAACTCAAATGGAAGGAGAAAGAATTTAAGCAATGAACAAGGAATTTACAGTTATTTCACTTTAATGATTGAATTAACTCGAACAAACTAATAATGAAGAATTTCACATCTTTCAAAGATCAGAACTATGCTTAAAGGTATTTTATCAGTCAATGTTTAGATCTTACGATACCGGCCAACTATTCCAACTGATAAATTCAGTGGATCAAAAAAGTATTGGCACACAACTTTATTCAAATGTCATTGTAAAAGAATCCGAAATTGATTTATTAAATATTTTTATTGAATAAAGGATTTAGAAAAAAAACGTAATTGGGATAAAAACAATTTAAATTTACTTAATTAAAAAATTCAGCAAACAAAAAATCATTTCAACACAGTCAAACAAGTATTGGCACATTTTAATTTAAGGTTTATTTCACGAACTGAATATTTATTAATATTTTTTTATCATATCATTGGCATCTATGACATCCTGGAATCTTCTTAGTATTGACAAAACAAAATTTTGAGTTAAGTCTTGCCCAATTTTACGCCATTCCTCTAAAGAAGTTTCTTTTAAATAATTTTTAAAGACATTTTATATTTCTTACTTTCAAATCCAACAGGTACCATCGGTGTTCTATGGCATTTATATCCAGAGACTGTAGTGGTGTTTTCTTCAATTGACTGGGGACATTATACATCATCCATTCTTTTATTTTATTTGGTGTGTGCTTGTCGTCATTGTCCTGTAGGAAGATAAATGCATCTTTGATCCTCAGATTTTTGGCTATACTTATTAAAGTATTATGTGAAATTATGTCGACATTTTATTCGGCATTCATAATATTGTCAATAAAGGTCATTTCCAACGTCATTTCATGACGTGACGTCCCAAACCTGGACGCTTCTACCTCGATGTTTTACAGTAGGTCTCATATGTCGAGTTTGAAACTCAGTATTAAGTTTCCGCTAAACGAACTTGTGTCCATTAGAATGGAATATGTTAAACTTACTTTCATTAAAAAAAATAACTTTTTTCTAGAATTCTTGGTCTTTATTAAATTAACTTTTGGCAAACTCAACTCTTTTTTTGCAGCTCACCTCTGCAATAAAAGGTTTTTTTCCTTTGGAACCTGCCAAAATAATTGTATATATGAATTATATTTCTTACATAAGGTAGTATTTGAAGTATATGTGACTCTTCTTCTATCTGGGCGGCTGATAAAATGCGATTTCGCTCAACGATTTGATGAATATAACTTTGTGTCCTCCCATTTAATTTTGGTAGCAGTTCTGGACGGGGTTTATTAAAAACTTTCTAAACTTTTGTGCAATATTCTGAAAACTACTAAAACCCATTTCTAATTTATTCGGTATTTATCGGTAGCTAAGTCCATTAGAGTGTAATTTAATGACTTTTTTTTTACACTGACACAATATTGACTGGTTTACCCATTTTGTTATGGCAAATATAAAGAATGATTTTTATTGTTGCCATTGTATTGTCGCAAATCGTCGTTTCTAATCTCTTGAAAGGAAAAGGATTGATTTGTTTTGACTGGAACTAATAGTAAACATTTAAAACTGTGCCGATACTTTTTTGACCCCCAAAATTTACTCTTTATTTTTACAATTTAAATATAGCTTTTGAATTCTGAACATGCATTGCTTCTAAAATATAATACTCAAATCCCACTTTGTTATATATATTTTATTTCTGGAAAATATCTTAATCCTGTTGAGATTTGATAAATAAATATTGGATTGTGCCAATACTTTTTGACCCAGTGTATTTCATCATTTCAGAATGATAAAAAGTTTCGGTATATAATCTTTTTGATCTCTATCGTTTTTTAAATAAACTTTGCAGAAGGAACAGGTTATCAGTTTGATGTACATATATCTACTATTTTTATTGATCTTTTATTAAAAAATTTATAAACAAAACAAATTTTTATTGTTAATGGAAGGAATAAGGGGGAGGGAAGAACGAACCCTTGCCACCTGTATATAGATGGTTTTTTTTTTATACATTTAAGCAATATTTTCGCTTAATAATTATGATAGAACAACTCTTTTACGTTGTGGGCGGGGTTGCCGAATGGGCTAAAGCGTGTGCACTGCACCGCCGTTGCCCTGCAACCTGACATATGAATCAAAGATATAAAAATAGTCACGAGTTCGCGTCCCGGTGCCGAGGGAGTCTTTTAAATCCCCGCTCACACCCCCTGGCCCGGGAAAATCCCGTATAGCCTTAACGGCGAGAGAAGGACCTAAAAAAAAAAACTCTTTTACGTTGATTTATCACACGGAACTTAAACGTTACTTCGGCAAGTCAGTATTGACAAACGTTAGTACTTCGAATTCAAATGAAGGTAGCGTTTCTTTGTAGTCTCATTTAATATAATGCTACTCAGTTTGTATTAATTCGAAAAGTTGCGTCTTGCGTTACATACCATGCTAAAAACTTCATTTCTGATTTATTGTTATTTTGAAAAAATAATAATTTTCAAATGAACCATACCAAAGATCGAACTCGATAATATAAATAAGAGGCACATTAATCGTTTAAATTTATTACTTAATCTAATATTTTTGTCTTCGTCGGTTAATGCTTGAGCCTCTAAAATCTCATACGTACTGAACCTGAACTATTGCTTTCTGATCTGCGCTCCTTTATACGTTAGTGCATTGCAGTAAATAGCAATGCAGCAAGTTAGTGGTTAGAGATCGCAGATCGCGTTCTGTGTGCCTAACTTGTGCGGAACAGTTATTACCTTGTAATTGCGGTTCCAGACAAGCAAGAACAATTAGTTATCACTTCAAAGTATATGGCCGTTAAGGGATAATATATTTTCATAACTATTATCCTGTTTCCGAAACCAGGCAAACCTCCCAACACCTCGACGGCCTACAGACCAATTAGCCTACTTCCAATCCTCTCAAAAATCTTTGAAAAGGTCATCCTGAAACGAATCCTACCGTTTATAGAATCCCAAAATCTTCCTTCCCATTAGTTCGGGTTTCGTTCACAACACTCCTCAGTCCAAGGACTCCGAGTGATCGATCATATTTCCGCAGCACTGATAAGCAAGCAATATTGCTCGGGTGCATTTCTGGACATAGCTCAAGCTTTCGACCGGATATGGCATGCCGGGCTTCTTTCCAAGCTGAAAACCCATCTTCCGCAGTCCTTATACCTAATCCTCCGCTCCTACCTCTCTGATCGCAACTTTTGAGTTCGCTGTGGTACAGAATTTTCCAATTCCTTCCCAGTTGAAGCCGGTGTTCCGCAAGGTAGCGTCTTGGGCCCCGTCCTTTATATCCTTATTACTTCTGATATCCTTCTCCATCATGTGGAAGGTATGTGACCTTCCTGGCTGCATTTGCTGATGACACCGCCATCCAATCATCCAACTTAGATCCCGAAAAAACATCTTTAAATCTGCAACGGCACCTCTCCCTGATTGAGCACTGGTGTAATAAATGGCGCATTAAAGTAAACGAGTCCAAATCCAAACACATTATCTTCACACTCCGGCGCAGTTCCTGTCCACCAGTCCAATTTAATTCCATCCAGCTTCCTTTTTCAGACACAGTTCAGTATCTTGGCTTTACCTTAGACCGAAGACTAACGTGGAACCCACATATTAAACTTAAAAGACAAGAACTTAACGGACGATATGGCCAATTATACAGACTAATGACTAGAAAATTTCAATTTTCAATTGACAACAAATTACTGATCTACAAGACAATCCTGAAACCTATTTGGACCTACGGACTTGACCTTTGGGGAACAGCATAATCTACTTATCTTTAGGTTATTTTATTTTTTTTATTGTACATAGTTTTTTTAATTATTATTTTACTTTTGTTAATTTTATATTTTCTGTATATATGGTGTGAATGTGTTCATTTATCACTATAATTATTGTTCACGAGACAGAATATTATATATCTAAATAAATAAATAAAACAACACTAGTTTTGCTTGATCATGCCACAGTAAGTGAGTTGTATCCTGTCCGTAGCAAGAATGTGATTTTATTGCGGAACCAACAAAAACCGTATCACGAAATAGCAAATTTGTTGTGTTTTTATTTTTCTACGGTAAGATACGTGATTGAGAGATGTGAAGAACGAGACACAACTGCAAATACCGGCACCCCAGAAAACTAAATGAAAGTATAAAGAGAAACATCAAAATCGAAGCGCTTAAAAATCCAACTGTAAGTGCAGGTGTCCTATCTAATATGGTCGAACCATCTTTTGAGGTGTTCTTAAGCACGAGGAAGGAATTTTCTGAAGTCGAAAAGTTTTTAAGGCATGGTCCCGTGAACAAAATCTTATAGCTGTCGGACCGATTTAAAAAACAAGGGAATACATCAAAAAGCCCATCACTTTTGGAAAAAATGTGTTGTTCTCTGATGAGAGCAAGTTTAATTTGTTTGGATCTAATGGCCGAAAGACTGTTTAGCAAAGGGGAAATGAGAAACTGAAAAATAAAAACGTCTTGGTTACTGTAAAACATGGGAGTGGTAATGTAATGGTTTGTGGATGCATTATATATAGTGAAGTCAGAAATCTTGTATCTATCGAGGGGATTTTAAATGTAGATAACAATGTATGAACTTTGACCCTCAGCCTCTTAGTAGATGCAGCTAAATTGGGAATCCAGCATAAATTTATTTTCCAGCAGGACATTTATCTAAAGCATACTGACAATAAAACTAAAGAATGGCTAACGTTCGCCAACAACTGCTTATCCCTCCGAAGTCACCAGACTTCAATATAATTGAACATTTGAAGATATCATATAACCGATAGGTGCCACCTCAAGAATGTTTTAGTACAAGAATGGGAAAAAATCACAAATCAATCAATATTTAACAAATAAAACCAGTTTACTCAATGCTTTGACGTTTAAAAGCGGTTATTGATACTAACGGAC